TTCAGGAAGAATTTTCGCGTGGTCCATTTCCTGGCTGGGGCGAATGCCCTGTTGCCGCGCGCGCTGAAAACGGGCAAAATCCAGGGAAATCACTCTGGCCGATTTGCAGGCATCCACGAGGTGGAGCGGGGCGAGCAGGAGCTGCAGCGGCAACGCGAACTGGAGGCGGAGAATCCGCCCGAGTCGGACGAGAGCGAGTCGGGCTCGGGCCTGGAGAACCGAATGGGCCCCATGGGGTTCAACACGCCCCCCGACTCGCCCAACGCCGTCACGCAGTACCTTCGCGAGCACAGCCTCCAATACGAAGGTAAATTCAGCAAAATTTACCAGTACATTAGCACCGTATCAGGTGAGCCATCTTCCTTTCTTTCTGTCTGTTATTGTTTCTGGTGGGGGCGGGGTTTGCTCGATGGGGGCGTGTCCTCATCGCTGATTGGCTTGCAGGCGGCATCATTCCCGAGCTGGACATCTTCGCCATACCGTCGTGCGATCTGGCGCCCGTGAAGGAAATCTACTTCGTGGCCATCATCGATGTGCTCACCCACTACGGCGTGAAGAAGCAGGCGGCCAAAGCGGCCAAAACCGTCAAATACGGCTCGAATGTGGATGGGATCAGCACCTGCGATCCGGATCAGTACGCCAAGCGGTTCATCGACTTTATGAGCAAGGCGATCGAGTAGCCAATGGCAGGAGAGACAAGATTGAAACGGGCGCGCTGATTGGCTGACCGTCGGCCATTTAACGGCTTCTATTCTTAGGATGTTAGGTTAGATTCGTATTTGAGTGACGTTTTAGCAATATTGGTATCTAGTCTATGGGCTCCGCTGCTAAGGTGTGTGGGGGGCGCCCGTGCGCCCCCGTCTAGGTTAGGTGTTCTGTCGCACAGCCCCCTTGGGCGCACAAGTTTCCGGGGGGTTTGCGCCCATTCCATAAGCTGTACATAGATTATCCAATCAATGCCTTTGTGATGTCGGTTTTTTTAGTTATTTTGTGTTAATTTTTTATGTTATTTTATCCGTTGCGTCAGCAAATATATTATTTTTTATTCATTTTTTTCGTTATTTATCGGACTTGTGTACTCCAGCATGCGCTAGATTAGAATCGCTCGATGTACTAGTTGTATACATTCATATACATTTTTTTGCATAATACCAGGTTGTTTGCGTTCCACCCATTCCGGCCCTCTGCTAGGTTGCCAGATTAGGGCGCCCCCACCAGGCGCCATTGTTTGTGTTCTGTCCGCTGTCACTGCGGGCGCTTGTCAAACAAACCCCTGTCTAGGGCCTGTGAAAGTTTTTGTTGCTAGTGCGGGACGCAGTCCCAACCAGAGGACGAAAATGATGTGAAAAGCGGCGGAGAACCATGGGGACAGCGGCTGTCCTGAACGAGCGCAGCACCGTCTGCCGGACATGTTTGCGTGTCCTGGACAAGTCCGGGTTCACCTACATGGACGACGCGAGTGCCTATGTGGAGAATGTGGGCAATATCAGGGAGATGGTGCAGTTCTGCGTGCCCGAGCTGGTGAGTCCGACCTCCATGTTGAAATGCCCTCTAATTGGGGGGCCCCCCTGTTTGCAGGACCTCTACGTGTCCAGCAGCCCCGTGATCTGCTACCAGTGCCTGCCCATTCTAGTCCAAGTGTACAATTTCAAGATCCGCTGCCTGAACGGGGAGAACGTGATCAAGTCCTACATAAACAGGAACAATCTGCAGGAGTACAACCACGTGAACCTCAACTGCGTGCTGATGGACGACCTGAAGATGAAGAGCGAAAAGATCCAGATCGAGAGCCGAATCAAGCACATGATGCTGGATGGGGCTGAGGAGCTGGACGCGTCCTCCAATGAGGAGACCGAGCTCGAGGAGGAGGACCAGCTCCAGCCGGCTGAGAGCTTGAAGGTCGAAGCCGACGAGCTGGACACGGACGAGGAACCGCTCGAAACCGTGGAGGACAAGGAGGAGCGGCCAGTGAAGGTGGTGGCGGTGAGGAAGGACCTGTTTGAAGCGCCCCAGTCGGAGCTGGTGAGCGACGTGGAGGTGGTGAAGCAGGAGCGGAGCGACACGCCCACGGAGCCGCCCGCGGCCAATCAGGCGATAGCCACGCCCAAAATCGTGTCAGTGGCGTCGGTTGCCGACCAACCGGAGCCCACCTACAGCTGCAACAAGTGCAGCTACGTGACCAGTGACGTGATCGAGATGTACGACCACAATCGCAGCTGCCATGAGTTCGACTACACCTGCCAGTTCTGTCCGTTCAGTACGTCCAAAGTGGAGCTGTTGGGTGAGTTTTGAGGAATCCTCAATTTGAAGATTTTACTTTACAAACGCTGAAATTTTCACGAAGATCCCTCCAAGCCCTGATTTTTTCAGCCAGCTGCGCCCTCTGCTTTAAAAATCCAAAACTCCCCAACTGGGACAAGTAGCAACTTGAAACTTTCCCAGTGTTTAAAAGACAGTTGATTTTACGAACGCTTAAAATTGCGTGGAAATCCCAGAAAATCCTGATGTTTGCCAGCCGACTAAACTTAGGACTCGAAGTGGGTGTTTTCAGCCAGGGGCGCCCTCTGCTTTAAAAATCCAAAACTTCCCAACTGGGGCAAGTAGCAACTTGAAACTTTCCCATTGTTTAGAAGACAGTTGACTTTACGAACGCTGAAAATTGCGTGGAAATTCCAGAAAATCCTGATTTTTGCCAGCCGAGTAAACTTAGGGCTCGAAGTGGGTGTTTTCAGCCAGGGGCGCCCTCTGTTTTAAAACCCCATAACTCCCCAACTGGGGCAAGTAGCAACTTGAAACTTTCCCAGTGTTTAGAACACAGTTGACTCTACGAACGCTGGAAATTACGTGAAAATCCCAGGAAATCCTGATTTTTGCCAGCCGCCTAAACTTCGGGCTCGAAGTGAGTTTTGTCAGCCATGATACCCTCTGCTTTAAAAATCCATTACTCCCCAACTGGGGCAAGTAGAAACTTGAAACTTTCCCAGTGTTTAGAAGACAGTTGACTCTACGAACGGTGAAAATTGCGTGAAAATCCCAGGAAATCCTGATTTTTACCAGCCGACTAAACTTAGGGCTCAAAGTGGGTGTTTTCAGCCAGGGGCGCCCTCTGCGTTAAAAATCCAAACCTCCCCAACTGGGGCAAGTAGCAACTTGA